GATATTTAAAAATGTTTCAGCATGGATAAAAAAAACGCTACACCTATAAGCGTTTTGAGAGGGAAAAAACTGCCTAAATTATTAGGCTGTACGTTGCATTTTATTATTACATTCAGAAATAATGTAGGCTAAAATAATGGTAAATAAAAGCAACATGACAAACACAATTAGGCTATTTTAGTTCCCTTCTCTCCACAACAAAAGTTGTATTTAGGCTAAATATAAGCGTCAAGCCAAAACTAATTAATTTAAAAACGAAACTGAAGCCTACCTCTCTCGTTCTGCACGAATCCAAATGTTATCATATTCGCGAAGTATCTGGATGCTAACCTATTATTTATTATGTGAACTATAGGCTTTGTTCTTCACTCGCATTATGGACGTAAAACATGATCCTTCACATATAGGCTATATCAGCAGTGAGGCGCTGTTCACACTGAACGACACAGACCCTACTACGGACTATTTAAATTGAGCAGTGTAACTTACAGCATGTTCAGAAGAAGTGAGCTGCCCTGTCGTGCAAAAATGTAAACAGGCTTGTGTAAGTAAATTGCTCAGTGCAAATAAAGATAAGTAATGGGAACCTGGTATTTCTATGTTCTTTTTTCATCTGTCTAATAGACATGAACAAGTTCTTGAAAAACATCTATGAACTTTGAAACATGACTATGGTTTCACTAATAATAAACATACGTACATCTGCATATTATGTAAACAAAAACTTTTATTTTGTATAATATATATATATATATATATATATATATAATGTTTTATATTTGTAATTTTATAAAAACTAATTTTTTACCATTTTGCACACATGTATGTGCAATATTTTTTTATTTATTATTTAACATATATACGTGTGTATAAAATAAGTTTATCGTAACAGATGCTTTGTATTATGGGATTTCCTGATGTAAAAATTTTAGTGCTCCACTTATGTTGTGCTGGGAGCTCATAACACTCTCTGAGGAGCTGATTCTGAACTGTCTACAAGATGCGGGTCCCAGTTGGATGCCATCTAGATAGGCATAAAACATCATAAGCACATTGAGTTTTATGGATCTGTGCAGTCATATTCTCAGCGCTCCATAAGTGGTTTTTATTTAGTGAATTAAGCGGCAGTATTTCAGCTCTTACTGGGTTTACAGAGTAATTCAAGCTGTCTTTGTTTTTGCTGCAGGTCGAGAGCTCGCTGTCGTCTCATCAGCTGCTCCAGTGGCGGGAAGTGAGCAGCACCGCTTGTGTGTGTCCGTACCAACGAGAGGCTCTGCGTCAGATAGCACAGTGTCATAACACACACTTTTGACTGTCAGGAAAACACACAAACACACTCTGCACTCCTGTGTGTCTTTAAAGGTGTGGCATTTCTGTGCCACAAACTGTGGAAGATTGTTTCTGCCACAGGATAAAAATCTAAAAAAGGTACTTTTTTAAAAAAGGAAAGTTTTAAAAAGATACTGTTCTTTATGCAAGAAATAAATGTAGAGGTAGCTAGTTGCAGGGTGAAGTAAGGACTTTTATTTTGCAATAATGACCAATTGGCTGTACTTTATCCCACATATTACAAGGCTATTTACCAAATAAATAAATTATGCACATTAAATATTTAAACTTTAAACCATAAACTTCAGTTGAGCCTTATTTATTAATTTGTGAAAAGAGCAAGTTATACAAGAGAAATGAACCAAAGGTGCATATTCTGTACATATTTCAACACTTCATGTAGCAATAATGCACATGCCTTTGATTCATGTACAGTGCTGACAGGGTTTAATGGCCAGATGGCAGATTAGGCAGCATTGCATTATGGGATGTCAGCAGGAAGATACATTTGATGATATTATTTCACATTGAACATTAACCTGCATTTTGCAAGCAATTATGCAATGCCTTTAATATCAAAGCAAATGCAGACATGTGAACAATGATCTGTCCTCAGACAGATTTAAGTTAGTGTGTCAGGTTTAAAATACATATCTGCATTGTTAAAAAGTATTAAGACATGAATAAAGCTGAAAAAATACAACTGAATAAAAAAGTACTGAAAGCAAACTAGTTTATTTGATCAATGATGAATAACATAATATGCATATTGCTGTATGCAGTGTAAAAATTGTGTGAATTTACATTGCAATGTTTTAGTTTAATGGTTTGCTGTAACGAAACATTTCATTACATCTTCAAAAAAGTGATATAGGAACTTATTTGTCATTCATGAACAATTAAATATGTTGTCTAACCATAACTTGTGAAGATTACAACTTGATAGCAGACATAAATCAATCACTTCCCTTCCCTTATGTTCTTAGCTTATATTTTTCCACAACACATGTGCTGTATGTTCTTTATTATTATTGTATAAATTTATTTTTATTTTTTTTATTATTATTTATTTCTCTCTCCCAAAACCCCACCCTTCAAAGCAAAAAAACACGCCCTTCAGCTGTGAAAGAGCCACGCACTGCTTTCACTTCGAGTAAACACACGATGTCGAAATCCTCTGAAATTATAAACAGAAAACACACACAGGTCCGACCATTAAGCCAATAAATCAACACGTATGCAATGCACTGTACAAAACAATATACACTAGCGGTGTCCGAGTCGCTAACGAATCGTTCTTTTGAGTCGGATCTTTAAATGAATTTGTCGGTCTGAACGATTCTTTCATGAATGAGACTGAATCGGGTTCACGTGTCCGATTCCTAATAACTGATCCGAGGATTTTGGTGCTGGGACGAACAGTAATACTTTGGTTAAAATCAAAAATCTCGCTGGTTAATGCCTTGATGTACATATGAAACAGTTCCCAGTTCTTATTTGGTTCCCCTCAAAAAACAAACTAAATTAATTAATTAAATAATAAACACACAAACAAATGGTTTGCTGGGTTGGTTTTAATGAACAGGATTTTATTATTATATAGCAATAATGCTATTATTATGTAGCATTCAAAAAATAAAAATCATGACTGTAATGATGTCAAACTCTGATAAACCGTATAAAATATTGGAACTTTGGAACGTAAGGATAACGTGATGACGTAAAAGAATCACTGATTCGGTTATTGGAAATGAAATGTTCGAACGAGCCGGTTCGTTCAAATGATTCGGACCTCCCATCCCTAATAACGCGCACAGTACAGAACGAGTGAAGTGTGTGCTTTGGTGTAGGTGTAAAATGTAACTGTAGTGAGCACAGTAATTACAGTAGACAGTCTAGCAGTAATTGATTAAACACGTGAGCGCGATAATACGCGTTCATAGATATTCAGCATCCTCGAGGATTGAATGAATGAGAACGCGCTGTGATCTATTTTTATCCCGCGCGCTGGTGCAGGTGCACAGGTCAGAGCAGGCGGAAGTGACGAGTGCGCTCACGAGACTCGCATTAAACCGTCGGAGGACAGTCGAGCGGAGCTCAGCCGGGTTAGACGGTAGGATTTCACTCCTTTCCTCACATTTTGTGATTTCCGACCGTCTTGAATTGTTGTAGCATAAACGCTGGCATTTTTCGCCCGTTTTATAGGCTTGTTTACGTTT